CCCATTTCCCCCTCCCCCTGTCTCCCTCCTCCATGTCCCCTCCTCCCCGTGTCCCCCCTCCCTGTGCCCCCCATGTGTCCCCTCTGTGTCCTCTTCTTCTCCTTCCTGCCCCCCTTCCGTGTCCCCACTCCTCATGTCCCCCCTCCTGTGTCCCTTCCTCCCCATGTCCCTGTCCTCCGTGCCCCCCCTCCTCCGTGTCCCTCACTCCGTGTCCCCCTCCCCGCGTCCCCCTCCTCCGTGTCCCCCTCCCCGCGTCCCCCCTCTTCTGCGTCCCTCCCTCCCTCCTCGTGTCCCCCCTCCTCCCCGCGCCCCCCTCCCCGCCCTCCCCGCCTGGCAGCCGCCGGGCAGGTGCAGGCCGGGCTCGGTGCCCGGGCCGCCGCCGCCACCCCGGATTTGTGGCTGCGGCTTCTTTATCTGCGGCTGCAGCTGCGCGTTATCTGCCGGCTCCGGGACGGGGCCGGGGCCAAGGACGCGCGACGACGGCTGGGCCGGCGGCGACCCCGGGCGGGGGCGGGGCGTGCGCGCGCGTGCACGGCGGGGGCGGGGCCTGGCGCGCGCGCACCGTGCGTGGGAGCTTGGTGACTGCGCCCAGGCCGGGGCTCGCTGCGCTCCGCGCCCCCGCCTCGGGCTCGCCCCTCGGTGTGCGCGCGCGCCCCCCTCCCCGTGCTCGCGCCTCCGTGTGCGCATGCCCCGTCAGCCCCGCAGCCTGGAGCACCGCCTGCTCCCCGTGGCGCAGGTGCGAGCGCGCACCGCCCCTCGTCCCGCTAGCCACGCCCCTCCGCCGCTGACCACGCCCGTTTCCAGCCAACCCCGCCCCTAGGCGTGGCCACGCCCACTCCTCTGTCGCGGCTCGCCCCGCCCCCTGCCCAGGTGGCCGTCCTTGATGGGTTTCCCACCTTGCTGACCCAAGACCCCCAGGGACGGGACCTGCGACCCCAGGCTGTAAATGGCCCTGCGGGGACCGTCACCAGCCCTGGTTTTACCATCTGCGCCTGGACCGGCAGCTCCTTCCGGCCGCCCCCGGGCCTCCAGGGCCCCATCCCAGCCCGGTGGCCGCTTCCTCGGGCTCCCGGGCCCTGCTCTGGCCCTGCTCTGGCCCTGCTCTGGCCCCGCCTGACCCCCCTCCATGGCCCCCACCCAGGCTGAGGCCTCTGCTCGCTGCCTGGGTGAGGCTGACTTTCTGGGCTCCTCAGTGGAGATGCCTGCTGCTGCGGGGAGAGAGGCAGGTCCGGTCCTCAGCATCCCTGAGCTCTCTGGAAGCCACTCCCGCCTCCCACCCAGGCCCCCATGGGCTTGCTGGGCACGGAACAGGAGTGGTGGCCATGGTGCAGGGGGAAACTGAGGCTGGGCAGTGGTGCGGCATGCACCCTGCGCCGTGGGTAGAGGTGGCTAACAAACGCTCAGGCTGACTCAGTTGTGGAGACTAAGTGCTTGCGCTGCGTCCATCCCCACAGGGCTGGTCCCCGGGGGTCCCAGGGTGCAGCCCCAGGCCCCCAGACCTGGACCAACTCCGAATACTAAGATGGAAACTTCTCCAGCAGCCAAGTCCAGTCCTGGCCAGCAGCCACTGGCCTCCCAGAGCCTGGGACTGGGTCTCCACCCTAGAACAGAATGCTCCCCTTGGGAGCGATGGCCTCCTGGAGGGGACAGATGCCAGACCCTGGTGGGACAGCAGAGGCAGAATGTTCTAAGCCCATCTAGTCCCACATGGGATCCTTTACCTTGCTGTGTGACCTCAGGCTCATGGCTTGACCTCTCTGATCTGGTTTCACATTCCCCACGTGGGTGCAGAGTCTGCTGGGGGCGGGTTGGGGGGGGGTTGCCCATTTCCAAGAGCAACCTGAGGAGACATCTGAGTGGAACTAATTTGGACACAAACACCAGGGAGAGCAGACAGGCAGGCTTGGGGAGGGGGGGAGGTTGCCCTGGATTCCAACCACCTCTGCCAGGACCCAACCCTGCCCCCAACTTCACTCTGACACCAGCAAGTTCCAACAGATCAAAGGGTCACATATAGGCGAGGGTCCTTGTGTGTCTTGGTGCCTCAGTTTCCCCACATGTAAACTTTGGGGCTGCTGTGAGGTGAAAGGTTCAAAGCTCCTTACATGCACAAACACCTCTGCCCTGGATAGCCCAGGGGTGAAAGTCTGGGACAGAGAGGTTTAAAAATAAAGCATTGAAAATAGCTGCTTCCTGCACACTGTACCCCCACTCCCTGCCTCCCAGGCGGTGGGGCTCAGACATGGTCTCTGAAGGGGTGTATTCTTAGGGGCTGGCCTCCATGGAGGGTCCCCCAAGTTCCTGGTAGGGTTGGGCCCCAGGCCTAGCTGTGGGGGTGTGTGTGTATGGAAGGTTCTGGAAGGGGAGGTGTATCTGCTTGCGCCCCAGTTTCCAGCTGTGGTGTGAGTCAGCTGGTGTGACAAGGTGTCTGTCACCGCCTGTCTAGGGGGTGACACGGAGTGTGGGTGACTGGGGGGAAGAGCGAACTTGTGTTTCTGGTGTGACCACATGGCCCAAGTTCCCTGCATGGGCAGTAAAACCGAGTCCCGGATCGAGCCGTCCCTGAATGGGGTCACAGGGGCGGGGTGGCGTGGGTCCTGTGCCCCGGCCTCTGTCCTTGCCCCGCCCTCCACCTTGGCCCCACCTCCAGTCCTCCCTCTAGTGGAAGAGCCCCGAGTTCTTTCAAGTCGCCGTTGCTAGGGTAACAGTTTTATGAGCGTCCACATGGTGGGCACATGTGTGTGTCCTGTACCCCATGTGTCTGCCCGCCCCACCCCCACAGCCCAGTCATGGCGGGCGGGGTGCAGGCTGTGTGGGGGAGCAGAGGCAGCCCAGGGGCAGCTAGTGAAAGGTTAATGGCCGCCAGCTGCCTGTGTGTGTGCTTGACACAGAGTGGCTGGGGTGTACCCCTGCACTGGGTGACCTGGGACGTTTGTGCATTTGTGTGCAAGCCCCGTGTATTGTGTGTGGCCTGGGAGCGGCCACGAGAAAGTCTAACGAAAGCCCCGGCTGGGAACGCTGTCTTGTTTGGGTGGACTGGCTGGCGTGTGTGTGTGTGTGTGTGTGTGTGTGTGTGTGTGTGTGTGCCCATAAGGAGTCCAGAAACTGGCTGACAAGTGTGTAATCTTGTGCCCCTGTCAGTCTAAGTGAGCAAGGCGTGTGTGAGGGCCTAGGCGGCGTGCAGGCCGGGCGGGTAGCGTGTCAGGTTGTGTGCATGTGTGAGCACACGGCTGGCGGTGACGTCACTTCGGCCTATGTGACTCTCTGTGTCTGACTGTGTGTGGGGATGGGGATAGGGCAGGTGGAACCTCACTGGGACAAAGGTTTGGGGTTCCCTGGTCCCACAATCTCTTGCCAGTCCCTCTGTCCAGGTCCAGCCTGCGGGTCACGAGGGGTGAGGGCATGGAAGGAGGTGTTTGGGGACACTAGCAATGGCAGGCATGTGGACAGGGCTCTCCGCGATGAATATGTATGCAATCCCTGATGATCGGGTGATCGGACTCTGTGGGGAAACTGAGACAGGTTCTTTCTCAACCAGAACCAGGAACAGACCACTTAGGAGGTGCTGCTCCTCTGGCCCACGCTTATTTTCATGTCCTCCCACCCCCAAAGCCCCCAAACACACATTTCCTCCCACAGCCCAAGCAGCTGTAACACAAGGTGTGTAAGGTGCTTGGGGTGGGTGGCTTGGAGGTGTTCCTGGAAATACTTGTCTACCACAAGAAGCCCTCAAGCTGCTGAGACCCGAGAGCCGTGAAGTGGTCTGGGATGAGCTGAGAAATCAAAGGCTCCCAGAAATCAGGCATCAGGAGAAACCAGAACACCAGGCCCCAAGAATGCAGGTAGAGACAGGGCAGGGGGCGGGGCCTACACTCGCAGGGGGCGGGGTCCGAGTCGGGGGCGGGGTCCCAGTGTGCCTCTAAACAACCAGGTCGGGCGGGGCGGGGCCTGGGCATCCAAAGCCACGCCCATTCCCCAAGCCCCGCCCCTCTCCCGCCCAGCACCGCCAGGGGGCGCTGTGGGGCCGCGCGCCCCTGGGGCACGGGGCGCGGTGGGTTGGGCTGCGGTGTGGGTGCGGATGGCGCCGGGCCCTGGTGCCCGGGAGGGGGCGCCTGCGGGACCCCCCCAAAGGGGAACGGGGAAGCCCTGGGGGCCTCTGGAGCCGGAGTCGGGGGAAGCGGCCGCTGGATAGGGGGCGCTGTGGCCGGCGGCGGCGGCGTCAGTTTTAGGGCTCTGCGTGCGCTCGGGGGACGCTCAGTTCCCGGGATGTTTTCTCGGGAAGAGGCTCCTTCAGCGTCCTGGGAAAAGGACCTGGGGCTGGGGGCACCTCAGTCCTCTTGGGGGTGAGGACGTGGTGCTGTGGATTTGGGGGCGTCTCGGGGCTCTGGGTTTGCAGAATAGCGAGTTCCCAGAGGGGCGTGGAAGCAGCTGTTTTGGGGGGCTGCTGCTCTGGGGGCTGCCCCTGTAGGTCTGTCTTGGGGACCGAGGGCTGTGCCGCAATCAGATTCTCGGGGGGCTGCGCCGGAGGGGAGGGGGCTCGCGCAGCGGCGTCGGGTCCCGGGCGGGGGGGGGGGGGAGGTGACCGTCTAGGGGCGGCGGCGGCGGCGGCGGCGGCCCACCTGCGCTCCGCGCGGCCCCGGGGCGGGGAGGGGCGGGGCGGCTCCCGGCCCGGGAAGCGCGCGCCCCGCCCCGGCCCCGCCCCCGGCCCGCCCCCCGGCCCCGCCGACCGAGCCGTCCGCGGCGGGAGCGGCGGGAGAGCGCGCCGTGGAGCCGCTCCGAGCGCCCGGGCCCCGAGCGCCGCCGCCGCCCCCCCGAGACCCCGGCGCCGTCTGTGCGCCCCGCGCGCCCCGCGCCCTCCGAGGCCCCCCGCCGTCCAGGGCGCCCTCAGCCCCCCGCCGGCCCGGGATGGCCGCAGCCCGCCGCTAGCGAGCCCGGGGGGGCCCCATGGGCCGGGCCGCGCCGCGCACCCCCCGCCGCCGCCTCCTCCGGCCCGGGCCCCCCCGGGCTCCGCGGGCCCAGGCGGCCCGGATGGCGGGCGCGGCGGCAGGGCCAGGGGACGGGTAGCCGTGCGCCCCGAGCAGGTAAGCCGGGCCCGGCGGGGGGGACCGGCGCGGTGTGGGGAGGGGAGGAGCGCCCCGCGCCCCGCCGGGGACCCCGCGGGCACCGGCGGCTCGTCCGCGGCGGCGCGACAGGTCCGCGCGGGGGGACGCAGGGGCGGCCGGCGAGCCGCGCGGCCCCGCAGCCCCGGCCCGACGGCGCGGTCGCGCTCCGCGGCCCCCTCCCGAGCTCCCCGCGGGCGGCCGCCTGGGGGGGGGCCGCCGGTCCCCCTCCCCGGCCTCGGAGACGCCCCCCCCGCCGTGCCCGGTGGTCCGGGGGCTCGGGGAGCCCCGCAGCCCCCGGCGGGGGCGCCGTCGCGGCCCAGCTGCGCGCGTTGGTAAACATCTGTCAGCCGCGCGCTCCGCTCGCTCCGCTCGGGCCGGCCGGGCGCTGCGCGGCGCCGCGGGGACACCGCGTCCTCGGCGGGGCCGGGCCGAGGCCGCCGCCGCGCCGCCGCCAGAGGGCGCCCGAGGCCCCGCGCCCCGCGCCGCCCCCCGCCCTCGCCCAGGTGCGGGCTGGGGTTCAGATCCCGGCCCCGGCGGGGGGGGGGGGCGCGGTGCGGGGGGGGCGCGGTGCAGGGGGGCGCGGGGGGGGGCGCGGTGCGGGGGGGCGCGGGGGGGGGCGCGGTGCGGGGGGGGGCGCGGTGCGGGGGGGGGGGCGCGGTGCGGGGGGGGCGCGGGGGGGGGGTGCGGGGGGGCGCGGGGGGGGGCGCGGTGCGGAGGGGGGCGCGGGCGGTGGCCCCCCTCCCCGCCGCGCGCCCCTCCCGCCGCCAGCCCGGCCCCGCAGGCCGCCCGGGAGCCCCCGCCGTCTGGGTTCCGCCGCGTCCTTTGTCTCCCGGTGCCCCGGGCTGGGGACGCGCCGCCGGGGCGGGGTCGGGGGGGGGGGGGACCCCGTGCGGACCCCCAGCCTTTCATCCCACCGCGACTGCGGGGTGGGGGGCGGCTCCCCGGCCCGGCCCCCCGCACGGAGCCCCGGGGAGCCCGCAGGAGACAAGCGTCCCCCTTCTTCCCTCCGAAGCCACCGGCCACGTCGGCCCCTCGGGGCCTGGCGTCGAACAAGCAGGATATTGTTTGGAATTCTCCCTCCCTCCCTCTCTCTCTCTGATTTTTATTTCTTTGGATCATCCCGGTGGAGCTGGCTGGTGTCAGCCTTGAACCCCGAGAACACAGAGCTGGTGTGGGTGTGTGTGGAGCCCCGTAGAGTCCCCAGAGGAGACCTGGTGGAGGAAAGGGGCATTGACTCTGGGGCTGTGAAGTCTGGGTAGGAGTTTGCTAAGGAGAGGGCGAGGGCAGGTGGCAGCCGTGTGGAGGGAATATTCAGGGGCACCCTGGCGAGTGAGGAGGGAGGGGATGTTCTGGGAGGTGGGCAGAGCAGGACGAGAAAGTGGGGGGGTACCCCAAGGAGGGACCCCTGAAGGCAGAGGTAGGGGCTGCATGGAGGATGAGGTGGTTCACGTCAGCTAGGCTTGGGCAAGGACTGGGCCTGGCTGCCCCGAGTGGGTGAGGTGACTAGGAGACCCCCCAAAAAAAACAGCGTGTGAGGGGGGCCTGAGTCGGGAGTGAAAGCGTCTGGGTGCTTTCCTATAAGGAATGTTCCAGAAGGGTCTTGCGGAGAGGGTAACGGATTGCAGACGCCTTCTTGTCTAAACCAAATGAAATCAGACTTTGAAGGAGGCCTGGAAGGAATCTGACAAGAGCTCCAGCGCCCAGCACAGCCCCCCTCCCCCCTTCCTTCCCACAGGGGGAAACTGAGGCCCACCGGGCCTCACTAAACTCTGTTGCCTGGACCCCAGCCCTAAGTTTGAATTTGGGTACATAAAAAGAGGGTCACTCGGTCCCATTTTCCAGGAGACTAGGCAGGGGAGAGGCAGTTTGGAGTCTTTCCTGGTACCTGCCTCAGTTTCCCTTTTCATCAAACCGCCGGCTGCCTGGGGCATCCTCCTGAGCCACCCACCAGGCCCAAAGCCAGCGGCTCAGCGCCAGGCCTCATTAAGCTGACCCTGTCATCCGCCCGCCCGCTGGCCAGGCCCGGAGCCAAGCCGGGCCGCCCCATGTGGTCAACGTGGGAATTTTACAGGCCAACCGCAGGGCGGGCAGCCCAGCCTCACCGCAGCCACCAGCGGGGCCAGGAAGGCAGCTGCAGGAAAGGAAGGCTCCAGGTGCAGCCCTCGCCCCAGGGCTCTGCGCCTGCGGTCCCTCCCCTGGGACACCTTCCCAGCCCTCCCCCCCCAGCCCGCTCCTGGTGGGCCACCTCGGCCTGTGCTGTTCTGTCTCAAACGCCACATCGACTTCGGTTTTTGTCTGGCATGGCTGGCCTTGGGCATTGCCGAGTCCCTTGGCCCTGGCATTCACCTGGTGTTTTCTATTTTTTTTTTTTTTCCTTTTTGTCGGTCGTGGGGCTTGAACTCTGGGCCTGGGCACTGTCTCTGCTCTCTTCAGCTCAAAGTGAACACTCTAACCGCTTGAGCCACAGCGCCACTTCCGGTTTTCTAGTGGTTCATTGGAGATAAGAGTCTCATGGACTTTCTTGCCCAGGCTGGCTTTGAACCATGATCCTCAGATCTCAGCCTCCTGAGTAGCTAGGATGACAGGCGTGAGTCACTGATGCCCAGCTTCCTCTGGTGCTTCCTATAAGTCAGGAGCAGAACGTGGCACACTGGGCTCTGCCATCTGGTCCTTTCCCTTGCTGTGCTGTGTGTCTTTGGGGGAGCTGTGTACCTCTCGGAGCCACTGCAGAGCAGCGTGGCCTTTCATTTCTCTTCCATAGGACCTGACCCCTGGCCGCTGCCTGAGAGCCCTTCAGAGAACCCAGCCCTGGCGCTGCCATTGGCTGCGTGGCTTTGAGCCATCCTTCACTTCTCTGAGCCTCAGTTTCCCCAGGTGGAAATCAGTGTGAATGAACACCAGGAGCTCACATCTGACATGTCTGCCTACCAGCAAGTCACTTCCCTTCCTGGCCTCAGTTTCCCCGTATCTGGTACCTAGCCAGTGCCTAGCAAGGCCGAGGCTGCCCCCCCCCCGCCCCCCTCCCCCGGGCGCCCACCCCTCAGCTTCACTTTGGCAGAGACAAGCTGCCCAGATGCTCGGGGAGCTGGAGTGGCTCTTCTGCCCTGGCCAGGAGGGGAAGGGTGGGCTGGGGGGGGTGTCCGTGAAGCGCCCCCCCACGCGAGGCCGCCCCCGCCCCGCCCGCCCGCACACTGCATCAGAACCAGCTGCGCCAGCCACATGTTCCTCGTTTGCCCCCAGATGTGTGTCGCCCCAGCCGCCTGTCTGTCCCCACCGTGGGGTGGGGCCCGGCCCTGGGGGGGGGGCGCCTGTGTGAGGGCTGGAGCAGTGGCTTCTCCAGGGCAGCGTTATGGCGTCTGTTTCCAATGGGCCCCGCCCCCTGCAGCCTCAGTTTCCCCATTAGCAGAACCATAGGAAACCCCCATGGGCCACGAGAGACACAGCCGAACAGAGCTACCCTAGGAATTAGAGCAGCTCCCAGGGCTGTCGGCACCTGTGGGGAAACTGAGGCACATGGGCTTAAGCCCCGCCCAGCAGCTGCTCACTCCCAGCCGCCTCCTCCCCCCCTCAGGATCTCGCTGAATTAAATCGCCCTCCAGACAAGGGAAGGGGTCCTGGGCCGACCACTGTACACATGGGGAAACTGAGGCTGGGAGTGGGGGGAGCAGTAGCCAGGGTCTCCCTGCCACCACGGGGCCTCCGCCATCCAGAGTCCTGTGCTCGCCCATCCAAGACACCCTCTCCTCAGCTCCTGGGGTGACTGTAGCCCCCAAAACACGCGGTCAAACACCTGCAGATCCTTCCTGAGGCTCCCTTGGGACTGGGTTGCTCCCTCCGTGCTCCTGCTGAAATGAGGAAACCGAGTCACGGGAGCGGGAGGGCGCACAGGGTACCCCGCTGCAACAGCACAGGCAAGGCTGCCACTGCCAGCGCTTGCCTCTGTAAACAGAAGTCTCCAGAGGACTCTAGAAACTTCTTCCCAGAGAACACAGAGGGGAGCATGAACACGGGGCTTGGCAGGACTGAGCGCTGCTGGCTGGGACACTCAGGTTTCCTTGGTGGTCGTGCTGTAGGAGCTTGGGCTTTGAAGGATGAATAGGAGTTTGCTTAGGAGGAGCGAGGCTCCCATTCTGGCTTTTCTCTAGATTAGAAGAGGTGAGTGGGGGCCCTTCGGCCCCTCTTTGCCATCCTCTTCTTCCTCTCTTGTCTGGAGCTAGCGTGGCAGCAAACGCAAGCCTCCCCAAGGCAGAAATCTGTCAGAGAGAGGTTATCGACCCTCCCCCCCCCCCCCCCCCCGGGCCACGCCGTGCTGTCTTGGTGGCAGAGCCATTTTCTGGCTCACACACCCCTGCCCTGGCTGCCTCTCCACGGACTGAGACACTGGCCCCGCTGTGGCTTTGAGCCTCCGTTTCTCCTGTATCCCAGCCTCAGCCCACAGGGGTCTTCAGCTGGAGGTGTGGGGCGGCCCTGGGCCTCCTTGCTCTACTCAGGCTGCTGTGGCCCCGGGCACACCAGGGAGAACGGGGCCTGAGCCTGCAGGATGCAGCCACCGGCCACACACCTGGCCCCCCTCCCGGGACCTGGCCACACCCGTGCCACTCTCTACGTCACTGCTAGGGGTGGGGTCTGTGCCAGGGACAAACCAGTCGGGTGACCCCCAAACAGAAAGGCCATTGTTACCCAGGCCTATCAGCCGCTGTGGGCCCCTTGGCCCCTGCTGCCTGGCCCTCCAGAGTTCAGGGTGGGGGGTCCGCTCCCAAGGCCACCTGGCCATCCTGGGGGCCACCCTGGCTCCCTCTCCCAGGCCCCTGGGAAGCCCTCCCAGACCCAGGTGATCAGAGCCTGAGGCTTGCTGCAGTACAAGTGGGAAACTGAGGCATGCTGCCCCCAAGCAGGAGGCTGGGGGGAGGCCAGAAGGTCTGGGGTTTCTCTGCCAAGACTAATGGGGTGACACTGGAGAGACTTCCTCCGTGTGAAGTCTGGGCAGAATGTGGGTGCTCACTGTGGGCAAAACAGCTGGCTGTGGACACCAGCAAGTACCAGGGTTGCTGCTGGCTCCTACCTGCCCCTCCAACGTGCCAGCCTCGGTCCTGCCCCAGGGCCTTTGCATAGACCCCTGCCCCGCTGACTGCCCTGTCCCTGTCCTCACAGTTGCCCTGAGCTCACATGAGACACACTTGTGTTTGTGGGTGTGTGTTTGTGTCAGTCCTGGGGCTCAAACTCAGGACCTGAGTTTTTTGTGCTCAAGGCTGGCACTCTACCACTTGAGCCATAGTCTACTTCCTGCTTTTTGTGTGTGTGTGTGTGATTAATTGGAGCCAGAGTCTCACAGACTTTTCTGCCCGGGCTGGCTTCGATGTCAGCCTCTCGAGTAGGTGGGATTACAGGCAGGAGCCACCACACCTGGCAATGGTGATACTCTTTGACACTTCTTTGGGAGTTCTCCACCCTCCTCCTCAGCTGCAAACTCGGGGCCTGGCATGTTCCAGGGGCTCAGGAAATGCTGGATGGGTGGACGCTTGGGGTGATGCGTGCGTGCAGGTGTTGGAGGTAGAGAAGGCAAGACAGAAGCCGTGGCTTGTACACAGTCCCTGCCCACTGCACAAGGTGCCTTTATCAGAGGCTGGAGAGCCGGGCTCGCGCTCCCATGGGGCATCGGAACCACCCTTCATTCGCGTGTCCTGTGCTGATGGTGTCTAACGAATGCTGGTTATAGGCCCACAAAGCCCTCTGGGTGGCTGGGGCGTGGCTCAGTGGGGGAGGCGTGGCCTCCACCCCCAGGACTGATAATGATAATAATAAAATGCCAGAAGTAGGTCAGGCACCAGTGGCTCACGCCTGCCATCCTAGCTACTCGGAGGCTGAGATCTGAGGATCGCAGTTCAATGCCAGCCAGGGCAGGGACGTCGGTGTGAGTCTTATCTCCAAGTAATCATCAGACAAAAGCTGTAAGTGGCGCTGTGGTTCAGTGCTTGAGTAAAAGAGCACCACCACCAACAATAAATAAAATATCTGCATAACAATAATAAAGCAACAATAAACACTGACAGTAATAGCAACCATGACATCAACGACTGCTAATAGCAGCAAACCTTTACCCCTGGGGTGTCTCTGTTTCCCCAGCTGCCATTTGGAGGTTCAAGTGCCTCTTCTGGGCTCAGCCCTGGCACACAGCTGGTGCCTAGAACATACCTCCAGTTACTGCGGGTGCCCGGTGCATCCACGGGGGGGCATGCAAATCACATGCAAATGGCTGTACATCATAGGGTAATGGGCGCCAGGCACCCACCCCTCATCGCGCTCCATACGAGGCCTCCCTGGGGGAGCAGTGAGATTGGGTGAGGTTGCACGTCTGCTGTGAAGCGCAGACTGTGTGCGGAACGCAGGATGTCACCTCAGCGTGCTGCTGCGGGGGGACCCGGGGAGGCTTCTCGGAGGATGAGGCTGGAGGAGAATGGGAGTGTGGAGGCTGGGGAGCAGGGGAGGCACCCGCCCCTGCCCATCCACAATGGGCGGGAGGGCTGGCGCTCAAGACATGAATCCAGAGGGAACAACAGCCTCAGGCCCTGGTTCCGGCCTGCAGTGCCAGCTCGCCGCCCCCCCTTGCCTCTCAGCGCCACCTGCTGGAACCCCCTCCCTCCCTTCCTCTCTGTTCCTCAGGCCTCAGGGCCTTTGCACTGAAACGCCACTTGTCAGACTTCTTGTCCAACCCCTCCTGCTTTTTCGACTCTGCCATCAGCTCCCCGGGAAAACACTGGGGGACCCCTCCAGATGGGGCGGCTCCCCGCTGGTTACCCCTGGCACGGGGCCCGCCGGGACCTTGGCAGTGCTCTCCACACCCCGTGTTCTGCGGCTCCCCGATGAATCATTTCTGTGTGGTTACTGATCGCCGGGCACGCGGAGTGGTGTCCAAAGCCGGGGCCCCGCGCCCCACTTGCCGCCACCGGGGCGGCTGACCGTCCCATCCCGTCCCCTCCGTGCAGGCCGACGATGCAGCGCTGGAAGGCGGCGGCCCTGGTCTCCATGATCTGCAGCTCCGTGCTGTCCGTGTGGCTGTGTCGCGAGGGTCACCTGCTCGGCCACCGGCTGGGGCCCGCTCTGGCCCCACTGCGCCGCCCGCCGCGCACTCTGGACGCCCGCATCGCCCGCCTGGCCCAGTGTAAGCCGGGGCTGTGTCCGACGCCCTGACCCTGGGCTCACGGGGGGGGGGGGGGGGGGGGTGGGGGGGGGGGTGGGGGGGTGGGGGGGGGTGGGAAGGTGTAAATCCCCCCACACACACCAGGACCAAGCAGGGGTGGTGGCTCAGCACTGGGGTCCCCTGGCTTAGCTGCGGCAGGGGAATTAGGCTCCCGGCTGGAGGTGGGGGACAGATGGAGATTAGAAGCAGGCCCTGGACCCAGCAGGGCACAGGGGGAGAAGGATGTGGATCAGGCTGTGGCCTGTCGGGGTGTACAAGGACAAGGGGGGAGGCATGGAGGCTGGGAGACACGGGGCTGGGAAGACAGATGTGGGGGGCACGCGAGCGACCACCCCAGGGCACGGCGTGCAGGCGCTGGGCATGTTGGCGCCCGCCCGCCCCACTGGCCCACACAATCCTTCTTTTCTTGTCCTCACAATGGACAAGGGCGGTGTGGGGGGGCATGGTTCCATCTCTCCCCCCCACCCCCCGCTTCCCTCCTCCTGCAGGGCCTAACGCCTTCCTAGGATACCAGGTCCCTGCCATCTGGGCCGGGCGGGGCCCCCAAAACCAGCACCCCAGGGCCTGGAGGCCAAGCATGCAGGGTGGGACGGCAGGCCGGGCAGGGCTGCATCCTGTCCCCGGAAAGCCAGGGGCCAGGGCTGGGCACCAGCCTGGAAACACACCCTAGAGGGGGCATGGGGGGCTCTCACCGGCCAGGCCCCCTCCCCCTTCCTGCCATTGGGCTTGAAGGACGGGGCAGCGCACGGCAGGGGACCGCTTCCCATCCCCAGCCCCATCCAAGGCGAGGCTGTTGCAAGCTGTCCGTGTGTCCCTGTGCCGGGTCTGGGACTCGAACTCAGGGCCTGGGTGCCTGTCCCTGAGCTCATGTTTTCTGCTCAAGGGCTGGTGCTCTACTGCTTGAGCCGCAGCACCGCTTCCAGCTTTTTGGTGGTTCACTGGAGATCAGAGGCATCTCACAGACTTTCCTGCCCTATGCTGTCTTCAAACTCTGAGTCTCAGATCTCAGCCCCCTGAGTAGCTGGGATTACATACCCAACCACTCAGCTCTGTGAGCTTTTTTTGAGAAGATGGGGAAACTGAGGCCCAGAGCTAGCCCCACCTTGCCTGAAGTTGCAGGAACAAAAGTGGTGAACAAAGGGAAACAAACCCAGTGCCGGCTTCTGACTCTCACCAGGGAGCAGACCGCCCCCAATCCTGGGCCGCCCCCAATCCTGGGCCTCCCAGAAGGCTGCTTTTGTCGGCCCAGGTGCATCAGCCTTGGGGCAGGTGGGGACTAAACTCAGGGCCTCCTAGCGGCCCTTCTCTCCCCACATCCCAGGCAGCCGCCACCCTGTGTCAGACTGGCTTCACGCAGCAGCAGGGAGGGGAGGGTGTGGGGGCTTTGGGGTGGGGAAGTGGGGGCCCCTGCCCCTGGGTGGCCTTCATCTCTGAGGGGAGCAGTGAACGGGCACCCACTCAGCATGACAGCCCCCATTATGACCCCCTCCCGACCCCTCCCCTGACCCTCCCTCCTCGTGACCCCCATCCTGACCTCTCCCTCCTTCTGAAACCCCCTCCTTGTGACCCCATCTTGACCCTTCCCTCCTTCTGAAACCCCCTCCTTGTGACCCCATCCTGACCCTTCCCTCCTTCTGACACCCCCTCCTCGTGACCCTCATCCTGACCCCTCCCTCCTGAACCCCTCCTCATGACCCCCATCCTGACCCCTCCCTCCTGAACCCCTCCTCGTGACCCCCATCCTGACCCTTCCCTCCTGAGGTCCCCCCTCGTGACCTTCATCCTGACCCCTCCCTCCTTCTGACACCCCCTCCTCGTGACCCCCATCCTGACCCTCCCTCCTGACCCCTCCCTCCTGGCGCCCCTCCTCGTGACCCCATCCTGACCCCTCCCCCTGACCCCTCCCCCTGACCCTCCCTCCTGACGCCCCTGTCCGTCTGTCCCCGCAGACCGCGCGCTGCTGCAGGGCGCCCCGGACGCCGTGGAGCTGCGCGAGCTGAGCCCCTGGGCCGGCCGAGTCCCGGGGCCGCGCCGTCGGGCGGGGCCGCGGCGGCGGCGTGCGCGCGCCCGCGCGGGCACGCGGCCGTGCGGGCTGCGCGAGCTGGTGGTGAGCGTGAGCGAGCTGGGCCTGGGCTACACCACGGACGAGACGGTGTTGTTCCGCTACTGCGCAGGCGCGTGCGAGGCGGCCGCGCGCGTCTACGACCTGGGGCTGCGGCGCCTGCGCCAGCGGCGGCGCGTGCGGCGCGAGCGCGTGCGCGCGCAGCCCTGCTGCCGCCCGACGGCCTACGAGGACGAGGTCTCCTTCATGGACGTGCACAGCCGCTACCACACCGTGCACGAGCTGTCGGCGCGCGAGTGCGCCTGCGTGTGACCCTACCTCAGCCGGCTCGCCCCGACGGCCGCGGACTGCGCCTGCGCCCAGGCTGCCGGGCCCACCTCGGCACCTCGGGCGAGGGCTGTGTGGCCATAAAGTGTGCGAACTCGAGCCTGTGTGGTGCCTCGCGTCCCGGGCGGGGCCGGGCCGCGGGGGTGGCCTCCCCAGCCCAGCCCCCGCCCAGACCGCAGGGAGGGGGGGCGGGAAGAGAAGGAAGTGGAGGCCGGGCTCTCACGCCTGTCCCCCGCTGCTCAGAGGCTGAGCTCCGAGGATCGCGGTTCGAAGCCCGCCCGGGCAGGAAGGTCCGTGAGACTCTGCTCTCCCATGAACCGCCCGGGACCGGAAGTGGCGCCGTGGCTCAGTGGTCAAGCCCCGGGGCCGGCGCGCGCGGTCACACACGCAGGAAGTGCGGGGTCACCCAGGCCCCGGGGATCCTTCTCCCCTGCCCCACCCCTCCCTGCCGTGTATGTTTTTGGGGGGCCAGCAGGGGCTCGGGTCTAGGTGGGCCCAGGCGCCCCCCCCCCGCTCCAGGGTGTGGACCCCCCCCCCCCCGCCCCACTGCCCCTTCCCCAGCTAAAAATACCCCCGCGCTGCCCACCCCCCGCGGGGACAGGCCGGGGCAGCACCAGCCCCTTCGCGGGCCCACACTGGCACCTGCTGGGGAGGGGAGGGTACAGCTGGGTCCCTGGGGACCCTGGGCCCATAAAACCCCAGGCCCAGTCTCGAAGTGGGGCTGTGGGGGGCGTGGATTTATGACGAGCCCCGGTGGAAGCCAGGGAGAGCTCTGCCCGCGTGTCACCTTGACGCTTGGCAGGCCTGGCCGGCTGGGGGGAGGGCACAGCGCTGGGCCTGGGGGGCGGGGGGAGGTGGACACAGCCAGTCCTCTGCACCCCACACTGGGGAGCTCCCTCTTGCTCCCCCCCCCCACACGCACACCCCATCTCACCAGCTGGGGCTCCTAGGCAAGCTCAGGACTTCCAGGCCCCAGCCTGGGTGGTCTGCTTGGAAAGCCGGGCTGGCTGGGGTCCCCTCCCGCCCCCTCAGCCTCCTGGCTCTGAGGTTTGGGGAGGTAGCTCTCCAGCGCGGTGTGGGCTGACTGGAGGAGGCGCTATAGAAAGCGCTTTCTCAGAGCCTCAGTTTCTCTATCAGGCTGGCCTGAGAGGCCCCAGGTCTTAGAGATGGACAGAGGATGATGGACCTGGGACCCCAGTGTGTGGCCCCCCCAAACTCCCCTGCTTCCTTAGATGGCGGTGGGGGTGCCAGAGGGACACCAGCCTTGTGGGCCCTTGGCCTCCCAGCTCCCACCCAGCTCCAACATCTCAACCGCAAGGCGCTGGTGCCACCCACCGGAGAGCTGGAAACAAACAGAGCTGCTCCCGGAGGCCCTTGGGCTGGCTCTCACCCTGCCTGGCCTGGTGTAAGCTTCTGAGTGTGCACACACACACACAACACCCACACTGCCCAAGGACTCAGGAGACACAATTATAGGCACCTCTGAGCACATTGGGGTTTGTCGGGTGGGTTTTTTTTTTTTTTTAATGTAGGGTTTGAACTCAGTACCTTACCTTTGCTAGGCAGGTGCTCTACTTGGTGAGTGCCAGGCTCCTAACCTAGTTGGTTTGAATTCTTTTTCATCGACAGGCATTTTTCCTCAGGGACTAACTTGGACAATGATCCTACTGCTTATGGCTCCTGAATAGCCTGGACGATAGTTATCAGCTTGTTTAAAGAGCTGCGGCCTTCATAACTTTTTACCCAGGCTAGCCTAGAACTTCAGTCCTCCTGATCTCTGCCTCCCAGATGGGTAAGATTACTAGCATGAACCACCACAGTCAACATTTTTCTTTTTTGAGTGTTGGGGAGGCTAAGGGAGGAGGATCCTGTCCCAGGCCGGCCTGGAGACCCTGGCCTCCCAGTCCTGGGCTGCCCTCCATCATACACTACAGCCAGGCATACTGACTGAATCCCCCACCGATTGCACAGACACCCCGCCCCCCCTGCTTCCCGCTCAGGGCCCTGTGCCTCTACCTGACCCCAAATACTTGGTGACCCTGCACCTTGTGCCCAGCAGGAAGGGCCCAGGTCCCAGCCCTGCCCCTCGATGATTGTCTCCTGGGTCGTGGCCTCCCCACGATTCAGCCTTAGGGACCCCCCAGCAGGACTTGACCTTGAGGCCATGGAGAGGTCAAGGGTGGATTTCCTACCTCTTGACATTCTGGGCTGGACCCAGTTGAGCTGTGACCCTTGCCCTGCCATTAGAGGACATTGATCCCATACATGGTGACAAGAAGGTCCCTGGCTGAAGGTGAGTGTCCCCTGAGAATAAGAAGCCTTCCTTGCAGCATCTCTCTCTGGAAAATAGAGTCCCCACAGTGGGGAGGAACACACAGGAAATACCCCCGGTGGGGTTCTGGAGCGGGTGTTTTGGTGGGTAGTCACTGGCAGTTCAGGTCACAAGCAGTGAGGCCCAGGCAGGTGAGACCTAAGATAGAGGAGCCCCATAAAGCTAGCTCTTAATGGTGAAAGCCAGCAGACAGCCACAAAACATAACCCCCCAAGAGGAGCCCTAGGATGGTGAGAGACTCTGGCTGGCAAGGCCCCACTAGGTGAGACTCCAGGTGGACATCCAGCCTACGAATGTACAAAGCCCCCAAAGATTTGCTCCCTGAGCCAGGACATGGTGGCTCACACCTGTCATCCTAGCTATTCAGGAGGCTGAGATCCGAGGATCTCAGTTCACCGCCAGCCTAGGCAGGAAACTCTGTGAGACTCTTAGTGCCAACGAACCACTAGAAAACTGGAAGTGGTGCTGTGGCTCAAGTGGTAGAGTGCTAGTCTTGAGCAAAAGAGCTCTGGGGCAGTGCCCAGGCCTTGATTTCAAAAGAAAGAAAAGAAGGAAGGAATGGAGGGAGGAAGGAAGGAAGGAAGGAATAGGTAGCTGAGCACTAGTGAGTCACACCTGTGATCCTAGCTGCTCAGAAGGCTGAGATCTGAGGATCATGGTTCAAAGCCAGTCTGGACAGGGATACTCTTCTCTCCAATTGCCCACTAGAAAACTGGAAGTGGTGCTGTAGCTCAAAGTGGTAGAACCCTCGCCTTGAGCAAAAGAGCTCAGGGACAGCGCCCAGGCCCTGAGTTCGAAGCCCCAGGACTGGCACCACCACTACAACAACAATAACAACAACAACAATTTTGCTCCCTGGCAGAGGCGCTCCCTCCCCCCTCAATGGAGGGAGCCCCCCCCTTCCCGGGCGGGTCACGTGAACCAGGAGGCGATGCTGGGCACCGTCTGGTAGCGCCGGTCCTGCTGCAGCTGCCTGCAGGCCTTGCAGAAGGCCAGGCCCCGGTTGCCCAGGTGCGGCCGCAGGGCCTGGCGCCACCGGAAGTAGCTCAGGTAGCGGGCGGGGTCAGCGTCGAGCATGCGCAGATGCTGCGCCAGGGCCTCGGGGCTGCGGAAGTCATCCACGTGGATGAAGGCGTCGGGCGGCAGGAAGCGCTCGTAGTTGCTGCGGCTGGGCCCCAGCACCACGGGCACGGCGGGGGCCAGCAGCGCGTTCTTCCACAGCTTCTCGGTGATGTAGTCCGGGTGCAGCGAGTTCTCGAAGGCCAGGTAGAACTTGTACTGCGCCAGGAGCTCCAGCATGCCGTCCCTGGGCAGCGGCAGGCGGCCGCGGCCGAACACGTCCACGGGCAGGTGCGCGCGCAGCCGCTGGAAGTAGCGCACGCGCGCCGAGCCGGGCTGCCAGTTGGACACGGCCCAGGCCACCAGCTTGCTCTTGGCCGTGAGGTTGACCTGCGCCTCGGCCGGCGGGCCCCGCCAGGCCTCCAGCCAGCCGTAGGGCGTGAAGATGTCCGAGTCGCGGCGGTAGGACATGGTGAGGTTGAAGTAGCCGTCCAGCGCCCGCAGCCGCGCGCAGTGGCTGGGCGACTCCATGCTGAACCACACCCAGCGCTGGCCCGCCGGCCGCGGGCTCGGGGGCAGCAGCGCGCCGGGCGCCGCGCTCACCTCGCGGTGGTGCACGATCACGACGTCCGCCCACGGGTACACCGAGCGCTGGGCGGTGATGCGGCAGTCGGCCGTGCCGGGCAACAGCTCCGAGCAGCGGGGCAGAGCCAAGGGGCTGTTGTAGGGCCATGTCCACAGCAAGATCAGCAGGGGCTGGACGGCCGGGGCCCCCGTCGGGGACGCCAGCTGGGCCGAGCCTTTGGGCGCCTGGGGGACCAGGCCCTGGGGCACGGGCCTTGAGCCACTGGAGGGCAACCAAGGGACAGACTTTGGAAAGTAGAAGAAACAGTACAAAACCAAGAAGAGCAGCCCGGGAAGGCACCATCGCCAGGAACGTTGTAGCTTGGCCCAAGGAGGCAGCTCCATGAGTCCCAGGAGCTGAGAGGAGAGGAAAGAGGCAAACACCAGTTAGCAACCCTCATCTTTCCTGCCCCAGAGAACACTGTCACCATCCTGGACCTTACCGGTGAAACCTTGAGACCAAGGGGCACAGAAAGAGGCAGCCATAGCTGGGGCCTGGTGGCTCACGCCTGTAATCTTTACTCAGAAGGCTGAGATAAGAGGATGAGGATGTTGATTTGAAGCCTGCCTGGGCAGAAAACTCCAGGAGACTCTTGATCTCCAATTAACGACTCAGAAAAAGCCAAAAGTGGTGCAGTGGCTCAAGTGGCAGAGCACTAACCTTGAGCACAGAGAGGCTCAGGGACAGCACCTAAGCCCAAGGAAGGGCTGGCACAAAAGAAAAGGAGAGCCTGGTGCTGGTGGCTCACACCTGTCATCCTAGCTACTCAGGAGGCTGAGATCTGAGGATCACAGTTCAAAGCCAGCCTGGGCAGGAAAGTCTGTGAGACTCTGATCTCCAATAAACGACCAGAAAACTGGAAGTGGTGCTGTGCCTCAAGTGGTAGAGCACTTGCCTTGAGCTAAAGAGCTGAGGGACTGGGGCTGGGAAGGTGGCTCAGTGGTAGAGCACTTGCCTTGCATGCCAGAGGCCCTGGGTTCGATTCCTCAGCACCACATAAGCAGAAAGAAAAAAGCTGGAAGTGGCGCTGTGGCTCAAGTGGTAGAGTGCTAGCCTTGA